ATGGAAATCCATCCCATGTCCTCCTCCTGCCTCTGATGTGTCAGATGAGCTCCGTTTCTGGGTGGCAGATGTGGCCCAAGGAGATGAGCAAGGCTAATGATGTTCCAGGAACTGCAGTGGATTCCTGAGAGTGAACATGGAAATCTTGGAGGACTTGTAACTGCAAATAAGCTACAGAGCAGGGGAGCTTTCACACCATTAAGGCTCACAAACCCAGAAAAGACAGTGTGCTAGCAAATTATGTGAACAGCCATGCCAAAATTCTACATCATAGCAATTACATGTGCTCGATGATAAAGCTTTGACAAACTCTGTGTCTTTCTCTATTTTCTTTCACAAAGTATCTCTTTCATCCCTGAGCAGGGCCAGGTATAGCTTCCTTGTCCTGCTGGTGACCATGCAGAACTGGTCCAGAAGCCTGGGCTGTGGCCCATGGAGACTCCATAGTCTCTTTCTCTAGGGCTTCTCTGCTAGGATTTCTCAGGAAGTTGTCTTTAGACAAAGATCAGTTTTAAGGGTCAGAACTCACTTAGTATAACCTGAATAGAAAATGGACATGCATAAGTGGATAGCACTAGGGAGACTACAATTGGTGTTCAGGGTTATACTCTTACTAGTAATCTGCACCCTCACACCAACTTGCACCCACAGTTGTAAGTTTCATGAAATCAGGTTGGGAGTTTTTCCATGTTGTTGCTTATTTCCTCCTATGTATTTGAACTGTTGCATATAAAGGGTAATAAGTAGCTACACAGATATATCACTGTCTATGTAGTTTTAACAGAATTGAGCATCTGGGTGATAAATTATGCTTCTATTATACTGTTCCTGCTGCAAACATGATTGCTGGGTCTCATAATGAATGTCAGGTATTCTTCTTGTATTATTAACATATCTATGATTCTCCTTGTACAAACTTTAACCAAATATTGTTCATATCTTCTGCCTGTTTTCTTAAGGTTTTTCTCAGAATTGTGTTTTATATGACTCCTACCACATTAACCTTTACTACTAGGCTTAAACCACCTTAACTTTTGCTGTGCTCCAGGTTTTTGCAAATGGGAGTGTTAAAAATCCAGAGGACAAAGGGGAAGACATTTCATCAGGTTCCTCACTGAGCAGATGTCATGACTGGAGTAAAAATGCAGAGCCCAAGGAGAGTTCACTTTTCCCTCTCACACAGAACTCAGTGCACTGGAATGTGGAGCATGCTGGTATCATCGGCACTGGTGAAAAACTGTATGTGGTGAGAGGATCATCACAGATTCAGGTCATGAATTTAGGCAAAATTTTGGCCTAATATTCAGTTTACTTGATAGGATCTGACTCTCTCAGTTGAAAATCTAATGCTTTATAGAAGAGTTCCAACATAGCAGCAAAGGGTGAGGGGCCATTTCAGAGATTCAAAGGGAAAGGAGTAAAGTGATGGACAGTGGATCTGTGAAAGGACTGGGGGGAAAAAGTATGAATAGAGGAAAGGTCATGGGATACTGGAGGTCATTTCTTTTGAACACTGCAGTCAATACCCCTGTGCTGTGCTTGTCACTCATGCATAGTCATACTCTGAGCTCTACGAAACCCTCATTTTCAATCATATAATAGACCTGAAACTACATCACTTAATATCTCTGCTTTAACCACCATGCTCCATGTCACCATTGTTCTCTTCTGCAAGTATGGGGAAATGTAAAATGGTATAATCATATTTAAGAAAATATGGCAGTTTGTAGATACAAACAAGAGAACCTAAAATCGAGTAATTCAACTTACAGCTAACAATATGCAAAGCAAATAAAAGTGAAGCTCCATTTCCACTAGTAGAGATGTATATTTGAACAAAACAGCCCTCTTAACCTGTAGATCAACATTATAAACATGGCACAAATGAAAACAAAGCAGAGGAACAAAGGAAAACCAAACCTGAAGGCAGAGAGAGTGAAACAAGTGCAACAAGCAATCACAATCTACAGTGAAACAGACAGTTGGAAGACAGGAACAGTATTAGAGGTATCTCTTAGTTTTGATTTTTTTTTTGAAGACACACCTCAGTTGGAAGTAGGGAGACAGTTATAACTTTGCAACATATAGATTTATTAGCTAGAAGAAGATGATGAAATGTGGAGTTACCACTGCAGCTAGAAAGTGTTAGAACATATTTAAAAGAGATCTAGAGGGAAAAAATCCCATGTTGCACATAAAATCTCTGAACCACAGATTTGAGATAGATGACAAGCAGCCCTATTAGGGCTAATGGAACTGATCACAGATATTAGGTCTTGCAAAACGCAAGGAAGAATTTAGAATTTGAGTTCAACCAAATTAACCTATTGAAAAAATAAACAAAAGAAAAAACAATAATATTCTTCAGAAAGGTAGAATCCAGAGTCTCTATAGATCATTAACAATTTCCCTAGGACAATTTTAGAGGTAATCTAATATTCTTCAACATATGAGAAAAGTAGAGGACATGGCCCATATTCAACAGAAAAGATGATCAATGGAGACCAACTGAAATAATCCAGATGTTTTAGTCAAAAAAAACAAAAACAAAAACAAAACCCTTCACAGCAGCTATTATATCTGGGGTGAAGGATGTAGAAGAAAATATACTTATAATAATCACCAAATAGGACATGTCAAAATGAAAACTAAACGGTTTTTGTTTTTAATTGAAATACTAAAACTACAAACTAAAATCACTCTAAAAAGCAATTCAGGTCTGGCTCATGAGAAACTTAGAATCATAAAAGAAAGACTAACTGAAAATTAAAGGAGATTAATAGAAATTATCCAATATGAAGGTAATGAACAAGTCCTTAAAAATCTGTAAAACAAAATCAAAGTAACAGGCTTAAACCCCAGAACAACTGCTAAAATACAACTTAAGTTGTATAGTAAAATACAACTAAGTAGCTGGTTGAAATGAGAAACACAAATGGTAAGATTTGAATGTTTATTTCAATACATGCAGAAAAGTGTCACCAAAAATTCCATATTTGACCATGATGATGATAATAATAATAATAATAATAATAATAAAAGAAGGAGCCCACAGTTAACATCACATATAGTGGTCAAATACTGAACACATTTTATCTATGATTGGAAACATCTCAAATAACATGTCAACACTCACCCCTTATAGTCATCATTGAATGTACACCATAGCCTAGAAATGAGGGAAGAAAAATAAATAAAAACACAAATATTGGAACAAAAGAAATAAAAGCCTTTATTTGTGGATAATATAAAAGTTTATGTAGAATATAAAAATAAATCCACAGGAACAAACTAAAATTAATAAGTGAATTAAACAAAATAATAGAACTCAAATCCAATACTGACCATTACATTTTATAAACCAGTAATTGATAAATAGAAAATTAAATTTATATATTTCTTTAAAAATAATGCCCAGAAAAAAACTAATCTGAGAAGATAAACACCACCTCACTTTCCATCCCAGGATGGAAAAATCCAGGTGTGCCACCTGGTCTAAGGGAGCTCATGGCACTGGGAGGCTTGGTGGAGTTGCTGTCCGGCTGATGTAAAATACAGACCTGTATTTGCATTATGGAGAGATTAGGAGTCAGGATCAATGTATCCCCCATCATAAATCTTGGGCAAAACAGATGATTTTTTGGAATTTAATATAATTGAGTATGTATCATGTGTCTCTACTTCTATGGGGATTTAAGATCTGCATGATTTAGAAACTTCTGGTCATCAGTTTATGATAGTTCTAGTTACCACTGCCAGCTCATTTCCCCTCGATGAACCTGCAGGATGAAGCCTGCTCATTCCTTGAAATTCTGCTGAACTGTTACCCTTAAGATTTGTATTTGGAACAAATATCCCCAAATTAATGAGCCAGCACTATCTTACAAGATGAGTGTTTGTCATTGTGAAATTCAGAGGTTAAAAAAAGGAAAAACCCTATTGCTGAGATTTACAACATGAGGTAACCCACATTTGATGCCTAATGAGCTTTTGGTTTGGAGTCCAGAATCTCTCCTCAGGACATTTGCTGAGAACAAGCAATGTGAATGGCCTTAAGATGGGACAGTGGGTGCTGTTTTTTTTAAAGCTGTCTTAATGTGAACAATTTTTCCTTCATGTTTGATAACTCATGTGTTTTTTCTGTAAGTTGTTTCACATTTGAACTGGAAACATGGACATTACAAGGAACACAAACCCATGAATATCCTTGGAGAGATACTTGTTGTATAATTCCACAGAGTACAGGTTTTTCTTCAAGAGTTATGGCTTCAGTCATTGTGGCAATAGGGTGACAGAAAAGCAGAGGTAAAAGAGACTATAGATAAGAATCAGTTTCCCCCAGTGTCTATGAGAGAGGATTGTGTGCCTGTGTGTGTGCGTTGAGAGAGACAGAGAGAGGGAGAAAGAGAAAGGGAGAGGGAAAGAGAGACTGGACATATCTATTATTTATCTTCGAATTCCTCTCCCACCTCCCACATTTCTTCTAGAAATGAAAACCGAAAAGTTTCTTGTCAGACAGGGACCAGAACATCCACTGGACAAGTAGCCTATGATTTCTACTTCTCTTAGCTAATACGTAGGTTGGAAATAGTGGGAAGTGAAATGCCAAAAATATAATGACAACACCCTGGGCTGCAGGAATACTCACTCCTGTGCTTTTCTTACCCCTGAGGACAAGTGCAGCCTTTCAGCTCCCTAGAAGGAGTGAGGTTGACCAGGAAAAGGAAACATTGACCTTCATATGTCATTGCTAAGGGGAGCCCATACAGATCCTATGACCCTGTCTCTATCACTGTACATCATTCTGAGAATCAGCACCCAAAACATGGACACATATCTGGGCAAAGAGAAAAAAGGCTTTCATTAGAAAGGAGAATTACTATAGAATTAGAAAAGAATGACAAATCAACATATATCTGGTGTATTCACTTAAGTAAAAAAAAAACTATTCCAGTACTTCAAATAAAAGAGAAGGTAGATGCAAAAGATAAAAGTTTATTTAATAATAAAAATAATCACTAAATGCACAATAAATAAATGTAACTACAGGCAAAATATTATTAGTAGATTTGTAGAATGTATTCATTTTTCCTAACTGAAACTTTAAACTTGGTGAACTGCAATGACTTAAAATGTAAGTGGTTAGATCACACATTAAGTGTTTTTTTACCACAATAAAAAAGGCAATGTGATTGATAGCAGATATTAAATAGTAAATCCACAGAGAACGTTTTGAAAAAAGCAATTACATGCAATCTGGAATGCATTGTACACAAGAAAAGTATAAGATAAAATATACTGGAAAATTTTTTAAAAACAATATTTCTATTCAAAGAGATAAGATTAAAATGATGTGGTACTTTAATCAAGTTATTCTATTCAAAGCATAACAAAGTTCTTACAATATGAAGTAGATTAATATTCATTTTTAACATTCACTATTTCAAATTACAGAGCAAAATAATTGACACCAATCTGGACCAGTGCTTATACGCTAGCAAATGAGAAGTTGGTGCAAACATTCTGTCTTTCAATTCCCCTGATCTTCATTTGTTATTCTTAGTATTTTTAAATTTCTGATGAGATACTGAATCTAATTTATTTTAATTTAACATAGACTAGTGAGTAGCAATATCACTGTGATTATGAAGTTTTACCAGATTTCAAAGTCAAGGCTCAACTGTGTACAGTGTTCACTCTCTACAATGTGTCATGTGCACAAGCACCTTGGTCATTAACTATCTGATGTAATTTTAAACATTATCATGACCAGCTCCTGCTTCATTAATGGCTACCTGGATTGAACACAGCAATCAATATCTCATGGCCCCTAAGACTTTCTCATGATTCTCCAGGCTCCTTCTATAAATCAGCATCTCCTGCAATTTCCCTTCTACCTCACATCCTAGGAGATTTGGCTCTTCTCTTTCCTGGGGAGTGAACAGCAGAAAGCCTGTGCTGGAGAAACATAGACCCGGTTCCAACCTTGGCTCCTCCACTCATTAGTTACAGAACATTCAAATATATCTCGTAAGTTTGTAAATGTTTTAAATCCCTGATAAAGAATTATTTATTTTATGATATTTAAAAAGATTAACTGAGATTAACGTGCTCCCTATATATTTATACATAGATACAATTATATACATATCTCTGTGTGTATATATATGTGTGTGTGTGTATATATATATATATGCATATGTTGTATATGTATGTGTGTGCAAGGATAAATTTGCATGGACACATTTTCCTCAGACAAGTACCATCTTTTTTATCACACTGGGATAAGTAATTACCCCTCTACATGTTGATGTGGGTTCTGTGCAGTAGACAGTCCTCATTTATAATGTGTGGTTTCCTAAGAAAAGTTTGTCCCTTCCCTATCCTGGGCCAATCTATTCCTCAACATAACTTGAAACTGACTTTAGAAGTAAGGAAGAGAAAAGTGCATGGGATGGTCTATAGGGTGCTATACTGAGATGTGTCACAGCAAGAAAAAGTCCTGAAAACCAAAAGGCTGCCCCCAGAAGAACAGCTGTCCTCAGACATGGCTTCCTCTGCTAGACAGGTCTTGGAGACTCATACTTTTGCGTTTTTCAGATCCATTTCCAAGAAAGGGCTTTAACACAGTCCCAGTCTGGGTATAAAAAGGTCTCTGACTGAAGACTGGGACTGGACTGGTCTTGACAGCAGAACCTGGAACCTGACAGACGAGGCTGCAGCAGAAGCACTTACTGCTCCTCTGAAGGGCACAGACCTGTTGCACAGGTCACCTCAGCTTATGCTTCTCAGTGACACGAGAGCAAATATTTACTGTAATTGTGCTGGAAACATAAATAGGAGCTTTACATCCAGGGTAGGTTAGTTTTACACAACAATCTTCAGGGTTAAGGTGCAGCTTAAATTACAATTTGTATTTTATGAGAAGAAACAAAAATCTACTGATGGCTACACACCATTTATGAGAAGAGACATGATTTGAACTAAGAAATTCTGAACATGAAATTTTCATTCTGGATACATATATTACTTTTGTTTTTATTTTTTTCTCAGCTCTCTGAACAGCCTCCTGCTGTATGCTGGGCAACACACAGACACACACTCAGACACTCCTCAGTTGGTGGGGGTGGGTAGGTGACTGTGTGTTGTCCTGAGATCATGGTTGGTGGACACAGGTGATCCATGTCTCTTCAGATCAGTGATAAAGAAAAATATGGAGAAGTGAGAGGGCAGAGATGTTACACCAATACTGCTCTGTCTTTAGGTGGGATTAGATGTCTCTCACTGAGAATACAGAAAATGGTAAAAACTAAATAAGCTTCCCATCTAACTTACATCAGAAACAGTGCAAATCCCCCAAATGACTAAAAGTCCTGAAGAAGAGAGACAGCAAGGAAGAGATGGTGTGAATGGAGCAGTGAGCTCAGGGGCAGGAGGTGAGCCCAGGACAAGTTGCTACACAGAAGTGGGTGAGGGCAGGAGAGCACTCAGGAGCCGGGTGGGCACAGGGTCATGGGAACTGGACAGTTCCAAGGATTGAAATATGGATAAGCAGTCTGAGAAAAGTGACATTTAGAGAACTTGTAGATGAGTGACCCTTGGTTTGTGACATTAAAAAACGAGACATCGCCTTCTTCATAGTCTAGAAAAACCCCAACTCGAAGGGGAGGAACAGCCATGTAAAGGGTCAGCACCTTAGGATCTGAGGTGGGAGAGTCTTCAAAGGCACTGTACTCAGATTTGTTCTGTAAGCCTATAACCCAGTAGCCATTTTCGGGTCTGAATCTGGAGTAAGCATTTGAATCATTTACACTTGGGTTAAAAACAAACCCAGAGCTTTTTTTTCTGTTGAGGTTACTTGGTGTACTGTATACCCCCAGGAGCCAGGCAATCTTTCCAGACACATCAACTTCCCAGTAATATTTCCCAGAGGAGAAGTGCTGGGTGCCCACAACATCAAAAGCAGAAAAATCACATGGATTACATGGATGTACATCACTAAACACGGATTGTTGCCCAACTGTCACTTGTCTCTGATCTGTAGAAATGACAACATTCGAAACAGCATTGAGTGGATTCAGCATCAAGTCCACTGTAGGAAAAATAACACAGTCAGGTGCATTGCATGAGGCAGATGTGTCAGGTGACAATGTGGGGAAGAATACTGGGAATTGACTGGGAGGAAAATGAATTAATGGGTCAATGTTGGATAGATTACTTTAGAACTGTTGTAGGTATGCCTGTTTCAGAGGAATACAGGTAACTAAGATTATGGCACTTAGAAGTACCAGCACTTATAAAAAGAGGTCAGAACATGGTGATTTGAAGCACTTGTGGTTTCTTACCCCAGTAGCTTTGGACTTCTGTCAGCTCTGAAATGACAAAAGTTTCAGTGATGTTGTTAGAAGCAAAGAGAGAAACACTGTACCTGTCTTTTCTCTTGAGTGGGGACAGAAAAGGGACATTCTTTGAGGCTGTCGACTAGAGAAGGAGAGGACACCTGTCCATTCCACTTTAGATGTGTTCACATCTTCTGCACTGGGTATTTGTCTCTTCTTATAAGGACTACTTCTTTTTTTATTTCATGTGTAAATAACATCCACTCTCCAATTTTGCTATTATACTATGAGAATCCACCCCCTCACACACCCTTTCCCTGGCTCTCCTCACCTTTAAACATTTGCAGCATCCCAGTGAGATCTGGAACTCGGAATGCACTCTTTGTTTTGTTGGAAACAATTTTTGGCTTGTTCAAGGTGTCACTATCGCTCCTAAAGAAGAAAAGGCACTTTTGACTTTGTGTCTATCCAAAACTAATGTCTCCCTCATCTGTCCCTCCAATGATGCCTCCTCGCTCAATTCTATTTCCCTGAAGAACCTCAGGGAGGGAGAAGTAAGAGCCCTGTCACTGCAGCCAGAACAAATGTCTTCATATCTGCCTTTCCATTTACCCTCTGGGTGACTTTGGGAAGGACTTCTTCTCATGAAGCCTATGTTTTTCCTTCTAAAATAGAAGAATTACCCTCTTACTCTCTACCTCTTAAGAATAATATGGTATTAGATGAAATAATGGTACCCTCAAAAGTTCTTTGGTGCTTTTAAAAAAAGAATATTTAATATAAAGAGAAGTCACTGCTATATCATTTGGTCCTCTAGGAAGAAGCCAGAAATATGAATTTCTGGGTAGATAGTTAGTGGGGAAGCTCTAAAACTAAGCTACTGAAGATTTTAGGTTATCAAGTGTGGGGCTTCTGCATCTGAAGACTGAAGGTCTCCTAAGCTTGTTATCTCAGTATAGATGCTGAGAATGACATACGAGGTCATATTCTCTGGGGAAACATTACAAATATTTGGGAAACAAGAAGCTATGACATCCAAATTAATAGTGAAATGAATTTCATGTGTTTGATGCTTGCCAAGTAGGTAGGAAACTTCAGACAAATAAAACAAATTTTTCCCTATAACATGCTAAAATGTTTAAGCAGTAAGAAGTTAATTATTGGCACTAGGACTAAAGTCATTTTTCCCCAAGTCTTCGGGACATGACCCTCCCTATGACAAGATAGGCACCTATGAAGTATACAAATAAACAGAGGCAGAAACCAAGGTCTTCTAAAAGGAGTGAACTCATTGAATACTGATACTGTAACCCCTTATTTCCCACACTTCTATCCATGCAAACTCTGTTACCTCCTACCACACACGTTCCCTACATTAAAAAGTTTCACCTGTCATCAACAATTTGAAACTATGTAATACCCAAATTTAAAAAAAATATGCAACTTTTAAAATTATGATTGATTCAAGATTACCCATACTGTTATAATTCTGTCATCACACACAAAAAAGGACCATGCCTGGTCTGGTACACATACCTTCTTAAGACGTCAATCACATCCTAGGGAGAAGAGAGGATACATAAGTCAATTATAAGGTTTCCAGATTTAGAGGATAACCTGGCTAGTTAAAATTTAATTTTGTATAACTTCCAAATATGTCTTAGTCCAATCATCACTTCTGCCATATTTAGGATACTCTTCTGCTAAAATATGATCTGCTGTTTATCTGAAATTCAAACTTAACTACACATTCCCAACTTTATCTGGCAAATCTCAAAGGAGAAATAAGCCCTCCTACCTTACAAAGTTTTACTTACCTTCCTCCTCACACCCCTAACACCCCTTGATATGATGTAAATAAGAATATGGTCAAAATAAATAAATGGGGACAAACTGTAGAGATAACACTCAGACCAAGCCTCTCAAGAACTCATGTGAGGATGTTAGAAAGACGCTTGGAGGGTCTGGAGATGTAATATATTGAAGAGAGTCAGCCTACAGTTTTTAATACACCTTCATGAGAAGTCCCCTTTATTTATTATACTTTTATTTATTATAGAGACAAATAAAGGTAAAATCTTCTATTCGCCAGACATCATTTTAGGCTCTGGGGAATCAAAAATGAACAATTAATAATTATACTGTTCAGGAAGTATATTCTCTTTTACTGCAGGAACAAGCAAACTAACCCCTCGAACAAATGTTCCTCTGGCCACCCTCCACTCACCCTATGTACCTCCTACATGCTACCCAAAGAAACCCTTGTCAAGTTCTACATATAAAACAGACCACAGAAACTAGTAGCACAGAAAGTCTAAAATGTTATTGACTGTTTTCCAACCTTTTACATTCCATTGTCCAGACTCATATCCTCTTCATCACTGACTTAAAAAGTATATCTTATTATAAATTTTAATACCATATTAAGCCAATTCAATCTATATGGTCAGCTTCTTGTAGCCATCGTTTTACCCCATTTTAACATAACTGGTCTTATTTTTTTAATGGAAATACACCAATATATTTGGTTTCTCCCTCTTTACTCTAAACCCTTTATCCCAACAAAGCCTTGGCTGTATAGCCTCAAAAAATGTTACTCTCTGCATTAGGTCTTTTGTTGTTATTGTATATGTGAAAAAACAACTAAAACTGACTTAAATTCAAAATAAAAAAAAGAAACTCAAAAAGCAGGTATCACTTTGGTAATAACAAGATTTTTAGAAAAACCTTGTCATCAGCATCTGTTTTTTCTTCTCAAAATCTTATTTTTTACCTGTTATACAAATCTTCTTTTCATAATATATATGGTATCAACATGAATATCCTGGTGTAAATGATAATTCATGATATATTACCTAGCAGAAAAGAGATTTCTCTTTCTAGACATAACCCTAATATTCTAAGCACACAAATCATTGCCTTGAAAGGGATCAGATACATATCTTAAAATAATTACTGCAACATTGGTAAATGTATATAAATTGCATATGTTGACTTACTTAGAATTAAGAGACATATATATTTCTAATGCTACTGATTTTATCAGCACTAATCAACTACCTGGAGTGAAGGTAGATGGTTTCCCAAAAGTTAATCAAGAGATGGTTTTTAAAAAAGTACTTAACTTCTGGCAAAGACGCAGGCAGGCGTAGATGGGAATACTGTGCCTCCTCACACAACCAAATTTAAGGACAACAAAGATTTTGAAACAAGAACACAGACAGATAATTGAACTGTAGGGAAGTCTGACAACAAACCATTCATCGAGACTGGTAAGATGGACAGAGTCAACAGCTGGCGGAGAGGGTCATGGCAGGAAAAAGTGGTGGTTGTCAGACCTGGGCACAAGGAGGAAATAAGCAGACCCAGTGAGGCATGCAAGGCGGTTGGCTGACCTCAACACACATGCAGATAAACAAGGCAAAACAGGCAGTAAGACACACCACACAACCCAAAGCCCTAGAGACAGAAAATAAAGCCTAAAAGCACCAATTGAAAACACTTGCGGGGGTTGAGGTGCCAGGAGAGACTACCAGCCTCACAGGAGAGTTCATTGGAAAGACCCACAGGGTCCTGGAAGGTACACAAGCCCACCCACGTGGGAACCAGCATGAGAAGGACCCAATTTGCTTGTGGGAAGAGGCAGAGGGAACTGAAATCCAAGAGACAGCAGAGCAAGTGCCACTGATCCCTCTCTGACTCTGTACCCAAATACAGTGACTGGGTTGACTGGGTTTACCCACCCTGGTGAACACCTAAGGCTCCGTCCCTCATACCCAACAGGAGAGAACAGACAAAAACATTATGGCTCAAACACAGAAACAAATCGAAGCCCCAGAGCCAATACTTTTAAGTGACCAAGATATAGCCAACCTATCACATGCACAGTTCAAAACACTGGTGATCAGGATGCTCACAGAACTGGTTGATTTTGGTTGCAAATTAGACCAAAAAATGAAAGCTACACTAAGTGAAATGAAGCAAAATGCACAGGGATCCAATAGTGATGGAAAGAAAACTGGAACTCAGATCAATGGAGTGGACCAGAAGGAAGAAAGAAACAATTAAATAGAAAAGAATGAAGAAGCAAGAATTCATTAAAAAAGTGAGGAGAGGCTTAGAAATCTCCAGGATGTCTTTAAACACTCCAACATCTGAATTATAGGGGTACCAGAAGGGGAAGAGGAACAGCCACCAGTGGAAAACTTATTTGAACAAATAATAAAGGAGAACTTCCCCAATCTGGCAAAGGAAATAGACTTCCAGGAAGTCCAGGTAGCTCAGAGTCCCAAAGAAGGTGGACCCAAGGAGTAACACACTAAGGTACATCATAATTACATTAGCCAAGATTAAAACGAAGGAGAGAATGCTAGAAGCAGAATGCATCAAGCATCTCTTGATGAGGGAACAGTCACTTACAAAGGAGTTCTCATCAGACTGTCAGCTAATATCTCAAAAGAGACCTTACAGGCAAGAAGGGGCTGGAAAGAAGCATTCCAAGTCATGAAAGGCCAGGCCCTACATCCAAGGTTACTCTATACAGAGCAAGAAGATAAAAAATATGAACAGTGAAAGGACAGCAAACTCACAGTTATTAACAACCACACCTAAAACAAAAGCAAATTAAAAGGATAGCTAGATCAGGAGCAGAACCATAGAAATGAAGATCACATGAAGGGTTAGCAAAAGGGGAGTGGGAGGAGGAGAAGGGGGAGAAGGTACAGAAAATAAGTAGTATAGATGGTAGGTAGAAAATAGATGGGGGGAGGGCAAGAATAGTAGGGGAGCTATAGAATCTAAAGAACTTGAAACATGTGGTCATAAACTAAAGAGGTGGAATGGTGGGGGGAGGGGTGTGCAGGGTGGAGGGGAATGAAGGGAGGGAATAAAACAACTGTAATGGCATAGTCAATAAAATATATTTTAAAAAAAGAATAAACTGACAGTAACCAGAGGGGAGAGGGGAGAAAGATAATGGAGGAAGGGTCAAGTTGAGGAACATGTATAAAGGACCCATGGACAAAGTCAATAGGAGGAGGATTGAATGTAGGAGGTGGGGGTGGGTAGCAAGGGGGAGAGTAAAGGGGGAAAATGAGGACAACTATAATTGAATGACAATTAGAAAGAAGAAATCCCTGTTCAGCTAGCAAAGGAAAATGACAAGAAGTCAAGCAGAGAAAATCTCAATTTCCTAAGAGTCTT